ATGTGCAGTTCAAAAAGTGTAGAGCATCCATCTTAAAGATGGATGCAACCAGGTGTTTTATCTAAAAACAATGAAAACTAATGGTCCAAATTTTTTCTTATTATAATTATTATTTTGAGTTTTTAAAATTTATTTATTTATTCATATTCATGATCTCCATTTAGAGATTATGTGTCCTTGAAAATTAAGTCTTAAAATTCATCTCAAAAATAGCTTTATTAAGAGGCTTGCATTTCTTTATGTGAGGGCTAAGCCGCATAGAAACCGGGTCCTTTATAGAACAATTAAAAAGAGGGTACAGTTGGCATACAAATGCATCCGTAGGTGTAGGTAAGGTGCACCTTCAAATTTTTTCATGGTATATAATTTTGATGTAAAAATGTTCTTAAGATTATCTCAAAATCTATTTTTATATCTGATTATAAACTTTTAAATTTCAAAACTGGTTAAAATCAAGTAGATCAATATGAAAATCTTGAAAATGAACAGTAAAGATAATATGTTGTAAAATGTATTATTTTTAATCTTTTTATTTTTCATGATCACACATGTATGAGATGATCAATCAAAGGTTTTTTCAACATTAAAACAACTTTTTTTTATGAATTTTTGAGGTGCATCCGTAGTTACATCCTTATATAAACTTTTTTCTTAAAAAGATAACCAAAAGTGTCAAACTTATTATTATAGTGTGACTCAAGCCTGACTCAAGCCTCCTAATCAATCTACCGGCCAGTGGTCGCTTTCCCTTAATTTATTATCATGCTACTGCTTTTGCTGTCACGATTTACATAGATGCTTCGGTGCACCATTAATTTGATGATCTAAGAGGTCGGTCCTATGCTTGTGTTTACGTATTTACGCAAACCATTAAATATGTCGGCAAACTTTTTCAACCAATCCGGCGCTGGTGGACATTGCCCATTCACTCATTGTTTCTCCCATGTGGGGGAGGGGCAAACCATATTCTTTAGGGGAAGTAAGTCTACTTCAAAAATCCACTAATAAAAAAGGTCATATTTGAAAACTATCCAAATTAATCATCTCGACTTCCAAATATATGAATATGAAAAAAAAAAATGGAAGTATTAAAAATAATATATTTTGTATCACCTTTTTTAACTGCTCATTTTCAATATTTTCAAATATTTATAAATTTATTTGATTCATAATAATCCAAAAAAAAAAAAAAGAGAAAATTTTGTTTCATGCTTATCACATGGGGAATAATGGGCCTATAACACGGTTTCCAACTATCACACTTGCTTTGGACTCGTCAGAACTATCTATGGGAATGATAGAATGGTTATGGATATTGTGTCCTAAAAATCGAATTTTTGTTTGGAATAATTGGATTTTCTTTCCAGACAAGACTAGTCCTGCACTTTTAATTGCATGCAAAAAGATTGTGAGATGTTTCCAATATTGTTCTATTTGAATCAAAATAAACTAATACATCATCAATAAAGACAATCATAAATTAAGTGAATGGTGTAAAAATATCGTTCATAATGTGTTGGAATTCAGCGGGAGCATTCTTTAATCAAAATGGCATTGCATTCCATTCGTAGTATCCAAATGGTACAGTAAATGCAATTCTATATTTATCTTTTTCCGCAATTTGAATTTGCCAGAATTCAGATTTCATATCAAATTTTTAAAATATTTGTGCTTCATAAAGTCGATTAAGTAAATCCCTCTTATTAGGGATTAGATATCTAATCCGTCTCAAGGCTTTATTTAAAGGCTTATAATTAACAACAATTCTTGGAACTCCTCTCTCATTGTCAGAGGCTTTTTCAACATAAAAGGCTGGACAATTTCAGGGTGACTAAGAACTTCTAATTAATTTTTTATTAGGAAGATCTTGGATTTCTTTTTTACAAATTTCTAAGAGGTGGCTATTCATTTGAATAGGCTTAGATTTGGTAGGTATGAATTTTTCATTGAAATTAGGTTCATAGGGTAATTCATCAATATGTTTCTTTCTTTCCCAAAAAGCATTTGGAATTTCAGCACAAGCTTCCTTTTCACGTTGACTCTTAAATTGCATTTCTCTTGGATCGGGGGTTTGTTAACTTTTTCTTGTGCTTGTTTGGTTAAAATTTCTTGTTTGAGTATATTGAGTAAAGTTTCTTTATTGATTTCTTTTAATTTTGGTTTGTCAATAAATTCAAACTTTATTTTATGACCATGGATCTCAAATTCAATTCCTGAGGAGTCTAAAGATTTTATGGGATAAAGAAGACTTAGGAAAGGAGTTCCTAAAATTATTTCTTGAGCTAGACCTTTTACCATAATGAATGACATCAAGAAACAAGCTCTGTTGTTGTAATCTGCCGCTTCAGAAAGCATATAATTGATTAAAAGTCTTTTATCATTAGCAGTATTTAAGACTTGGGTGGTCTTATCGAAGAATCGTGACGGAACAAGCCCTTCATTACTACAATTAAGATCAACACCTGAATCAATAAGAGCTATAGCTGAAAATAACCCGCCTATCTGGGATGAAGAACCCCTAGAAGAAGATAGGGGTAGAGGCATGACTCCACTATTTGGGACAGCCCATATTTAAGAGGAAAAAGAAGATCTATGAGGGGCAGTAACATCCACTAGCTTGATAGGGATCCCCTCATCTGCAGAAAATTATGTAGAGATTGTCTCATCCAAATGCTAAGAGGGACAATCTCATCTAATGA